AACTTGCCTCTCAAACTTCTTGCAATCTCTTGAAAAGTCGTTATGTGGGAGGCTGGTGCTGAGGTAAACTGGATAAGGAGTTTGTAGTCTCTGATTAAAACTTCTACATGTGGGGCTGGCAGATGGTGTGGTGGTTAAGGCCATGGACTCCCACATGACTGAATACAGTTTGGGTCCCAGACCTGGCAGCTTACTTTCTCACTCTCCTTCTCTCTCTGGTCAAATTGAAGAATAAATAAAATGAAATAAATAAAATGAAAATGAATAAAAATGAAATAAACAATTCTTAAAAAAAAGAACAAAACTTCTCCATGTAATTTAAGGTACAGGAGTACAGACTGTCTAAATCAACATCTTAGATAACTTGAAATGTTTTCTTGGAGAGTAAACATTTATGTAACTTATAATAATAGCTCTAATTATTATTAACACTTACATAGGATCTTTTTAAAATTTATTTATTTAATTTTATTTATTACTATAATTTATCTTTTTTAAATTTGACCAGATGGAGACAGAGAGAGAGAGAGAGAAAGTGAGAAAGCAAGCCGCCAGGTCCGGGACTTGAACCATGGTCAGCTATGTGGAAGTCCAGCGCCCCAACCACCACACCACCTGCCCGCCCCCATAGCATCTTTCTTTACTTAAGCTTAAAGTACTTTACACATACAATAGTTCTAACAGTAACCTTATGAAACAGAAAGGTAGCAAGGGCAGTTATTACAATTTTGCTAAAATCAGGGCAGGGAAACATGACAAGTTTGCTCAGACCATAAAAAGTTAAGAGATTTCATTTAAAATTTTTATTTAGTCATTTATTTATTGAGTTTTGGTCCTATGTTTGGCTCTGGGGAAGATGGTTAGTGTGTCTATGAAGAAGAGGGAAAAGGAAAGGTGATATGAATAACCATGCAATGAACAACCTGAGAGTCTGTGATTCCAAATTATTAGCAAAGAAGTTGAATTTTGTCACTAGATACAGCCTAGGAACTACAAACTCAGCTACATCTGCTTTGTCCCTGAAATGTGATTCCTTTACTCACTGTGTGAATGAACTAGACTGACTCCATTTTTAAAAGACTAATGCCATCTTGGGGCACACCATTCTCCTGTCTATGCTGTTCTGTTAAACTGAAAGACCTATGTCTCTCATTAAGGTAGCTGGCCTTTGTTAAGAAAAAGGTCAATGATTTTAAGAACCTAGGGGCGGGACCAGCAGTTAGCATAATGGCTATGTTGCTGGACTCCCATGTAGCCGACGGCGGTTCCCGGTCCAGACCCAGTGGCTTAAACTGACGCTCGGTGCGTGTGCGTGCATGCCCAAGAACCCAAGAGGAGAATGGAGGAGAAGGGATTGCGGCATGGCCATCCCCTCTGGGGGGTGATTTCTCGCTTTCTATCTCTCTGTCCCTCTCTGTCTGTCTGGTGAGCGCACACGTCCTATAGCAAAAACTTCTCAAAAAAAAAAAAGAAAAAAAAAAAGAACCCAGGGGCAGTCATATCTCCAAACCAGGTGGCTTTCTCCCTCCAGACTTGCTTCTACTGTTTAGTTCCTTTGATTTCCCTTAAAAACTCCAGCTTGCTTCAAGGTAGTGTGAAATGTGGCTGCAACAACGCCTGTGAGTTGCTGTTTGCTCAATTCTTTCCATTTGTAAGTTACCCTCTAATAAACTGCTGCAAAGTGCTCCATGAAATTACTTGCTTCATTTATTTTGTTTCAAAGTTTTTTTACAGTTTTGGGGGCACGATACATTGTTCCTGTCCTCCAACATTCACTTCTGAAAGGAAAGAATGTTTAAAATATTTAATTTGTATATTTCTGAAAGGCAAGATAAGTGTGAAGAGGAAGATCATACCAGAGACAGCAAAAGCAACTCTTAAAAGGCAATCTTAAGCCAGCTGGATCCCGCATGGTCAATTGTGTGGGTTGAGTCCTGGACCCAGCCAGCGCATGTATGTGCCCAATATCCCTCTTAAGCCAGCTGGATCCCGCATGGTCAATTGTGTGGGTTGAGTCCTGGACCCAGCCAGCGCATGTATGTGCCCAATATCCCAAAGGGAGGGAGAGAAGAAGAAAGGATTATTGCGTGGTATGCTTTCTCATCCACCCGCCACCCCCCATCTCTCGAGCACACAATCCTTCTGGCAAAAAAGGGAGGGGGGGCTTTCTCATACATAACAACAGGCCCAAGGATATTACTATCCAGCAGAAGATAATTACTGACACTCTAACAATGGCCTTTAGCTGCCAAATAAAGATTAAATTATGGCCCATATACTTTGGTTACACCAGAGAAGTAAGTACTGTATTTTATGTACATTTCTGTCAACAGTGGTTTCAATGAAAAAGTTTTAAAACCTAAGTTTAGTTATCTAGAAATGTTATGGGCCAGATTATTTCCTGATGTTAGAAAATGAAATGTAACAATTGATAAAATATCAGAGTATGAGAAAACATTATGGGCAGAATTAGTTTCATTTGAAAACTGGCTAGAATACTTAGAGTTCTCCAGAGAAACTCTTTGAAGCCCAGGCACTCCTAAGTGTCATACATTAATTTAAGGGAAAGAAATAATGTTTTCTGGGTCAGTCATTATTAAAAAATAATGCCATAAAAATCAACAAAGAAACAAGCAAGCTGACCTACAACAACCCTTTTTCCATGTATTCTCCATTACCTGATTTGAGGGGATCTTCAAAAAGGAATGAAAATGCATATTATGAAAACACTATCCATGAATTTCAAAATGTTTTTGCACTAAAATAAACTCATACTTTAATTCCACTTTCCAAAAACTTCATGAAGTATTCGTGTATTACGTGGGGAAGCCTTTTTCTTATTTTTTTCAACTGTCATATTGCTCTTCTTCTAGTTTTATATTTCCTATTTTTGCCTCCTAAATGTGGGTATTTCCTGAGGCGTAGGCCCTGGCCTTCTGCTCTTCTCTATAAATATTCTCCCTTGAAAAGATCATACAGACAGATGATTTCAACTGTTGTTTCTTCATGGATGACTCACATAGTCACATATTTGGACAATTCCTGAGCTTATATGCTGTATTTATTTTCTCCCCGAGGTTTTTATCATAGGGTGCATGCACTCACCAGAGAGTGAGACAGTGAGAAAGAGAGTGAGAAATCATCACCCAGAGGAGATGGCCATGCTGCAATCCCTTTTCCTCCATTCTCCTCCTGGGATTTTGGGCATGCATGCACATTTGTCTGGCATGATTTTCAAGCTGCCAGGTCTGGGACTCCCATATGGTCAGCCATATGGGAGTTCAGCGCCTTAACCGTCATGCCATCTGTTGGCCCTATATCCTGCGTTTCCAACTATTTTATGTAAATTGTCTCTTGGCTATATCGCTACCATTTCAAATTTTACACATCTGTTGATATTTGAGCTCTGAGCTCATTTCTGCTTTAAAATCAGTTTACCCTACAGATAGCCCTTTTCAGTTCCAATTTTCCAAACTCAAAAAACGAGTCTTCTCATTTGCTACCCACCTTTTTCTCTCATCTGCTCAGTTACTATGGATGGTACTGTTAATATTTAATTATTGCAACCTGGTCTTTACACCTCTCATCATTACTACCCAACGCTAAAGACTAACACATCTCATCATTACTACCCAACGCTAAAGACTAACACATCTCATCATCTATACCATCCTATATGTACTTTTTTAGGTCAATGTTTTAAAAAAAAATGTCTTGGTGGGGCCAGCAGGTGGCATGATGGTTAGAGTGTTGGACTTCCACATAGCCAACGATGGTTTGAGTCCTGGACCTAGCAGTTTGCTTTCTCACTTTCCCTCTCTCTCTGTCCCTCTCTGGACAAATTAAAATAAATAAAGTTAAATAAAATAATTCTTGGAAAAAAATGTCTTGGACCACTCATATTTCCATCACACATTCCACAAATATTTATTGAGTGCTTACTTTATGCAAAACACAATGTAAATAAACCTTTAGTTCATTTCTATACTTGTGTTACTTATCTTTCTTTTTCAGAGATTTTTGCTATGGGGCATGTGCACTTAACAAGAGACAAAAAGTAAGAAATCATCCCTCGGGAGGGGGATGCACATGCCTCAATCTCTCCTCTATTCTCCTCTTGGGATTTTGGGCACGGAGGCACTCAGGACCAGCATGAGTTCAAGTCTCAGCCAGGCACTCTAACTGCAGTTGGGCATGTGGCAGTGCAGTGACATAAGGATTATGCCATCTGCTGGGCCCCATTTCTACGCTTTGGAGTGTATAACATGTGCTTTAACCTACAGGCAAGGGAGACACTGAATATTTTGGATCACGGCTGTGCTTGAGGATGACTAAGTCCATAGGAGTGATAAGACAGTCTGGTAAGGAAGTGAGCTAATGGCAGGACATCAATGAGAAAGGGTGACTGAGAACTCCGTCTAGGTGGAGGCAGAGGTATGGAGACTGCATGGACACCAGAATTATCGAAGGGATAAAATTGACAAAACTTGGCAACTGACTAGAGAGGGTAAAAAAAAGAAATAAAACTCGGACATCAAAGTTTCCGAGCTGGAGCCAGCAGGTGGCGTGGTGGCTAAGGCAATAGATTCCCACATGGTTGACCACTGTTTAAAGTCCTGGACCCGGAGGCTTGCTTTCTCGTTCTCCTCCTTCCTCAATGGTCAAATTGAAGAATAAGTAAATAAAACAAATTAAGCAAATAAATCTTTCAAAAACCGTTTCCAAGTTGGTTATATTAACAAAATAGGGGACACAGTCTGGAGAGTAATTTGGGAGGGAAAGGCCAAGTCACGTCTAGGATATTCAGCGACCATACAGAACAAAGGGCCCTGACTCCAGGAGGTGGCTGGACGCCGCTGACCGACACTGGGGCGGAGGGGTGGTGTGTTTGCACAAAACGGACCACAGCAATTGTACTGTGAAGGCTTGGCCTGGCAGAACCGACGGGCGCAGGGCGGCCAGGGCACTCCGGGCGGGTCTGCTCTTTCGCCCACTCTCACCTCACGCCCTTCGCGAAGACTTCGGCGCAGGCGGCCGGAAGCAGCTTTTCCCTCCCGTCTCAGCGTGCTCCCAGAACTTCGTTGTGGCTCCCGTCAAAGGGCCCCCCTGGCGGGGAGAAAGCGCACCGACCGCATCACCACTTTCAGCCCGCCACTTGAGTGCCTCAAAGGCCGCTCTCGGCGCTGCGCCAGCGTTCAAAGGAACGCGGCAAGGCACGAAACCCACGCGGCGAGCCCGAGATATCGCGGGACTTCACAGTCCGCCTCCGCTTTCGCCCGCCGGAAGCGGAAGTCGGGCAGCTGTCGGGTCCTAGCGGAAGAGGCTCCGTTACCTGGGGCAGGTTAAGTGGACTGGGGTTCGCGGTGTGGGCTCTTGCGTGTCTGCGGCGGGGGGC